CTTTCTTTTGAATCAATACTGGTTGCAAGGAAAGTTACTGGATTTGGGATCAGCGGGTGGCAGATAGTTACACCCAGCCTGCTGCACCCACCCTCACCAGGGCTTCAGGAACATCCCAGCCCGGCCCCTGGGGGAAAGCCAGGTCCCCATGGCCTTCTGGAAGGCCAGCAGGGTTGGGCGGTTGGTTTCTTTGGGCAGAGCCTCTTCCGTAGGGCAGGTACCGTAGCGGAGAAGGCACGTTTCCTGGGATCCACCAGGTGATAAGATACTGCTCCACAGTATGTCCTTACAAACAATTAAAGAGTAGTGCTAAGGTGGATATTAGTTACAGGATTTGCAACAATTCTGGAATAAGGGATTGGAATTTTGCATATTTACAGGGCTGTGGGTCTTAAGAAATATTAAGCACGTTTATTGTGATCTTATGTTGAAACCGATTCAACCAGAGATTTCATTGGACACCCCAGAAAATGCTGCTTATCAAATCCATTATGCTAAAAGCATAAAATGAGTGAGGGGATGCTCACTGGTCTGTTGCCTTGTTTCCATTTAATATCCATAACATTGTTAATGTAATAGTATAAGTGTCTGTATGTCTAAAGATATGGTTGTGCTTTGAGTCAGATATCAAAACTTAGAACATATTCCTCTGTGAAGAATTATGGATTTATCAAGGATGTCGGGTGGCAAGGAAGATTATTCTTCAATGTCTCAAAAAAGCGGGACCGCAGATTTCCAATCTTGAGTCAACCCTATATGTTCAGTTTCGGTTTTTGAGCTGGCTTTCTGTCACTGAACAATACTATTCTGTGTGGTCCAAGCTCAAATGATGGGTTTAAAAATTAGGCTGAATGATATCTTAATGCAATATATATTTTATTTCTTTGTTTGGATTAGTATAATCTGAAACATATTCCAATACTTTCTTTATACTAATTCAGGAGTTTTAGATGCTGCTAAAGCATCTGGACCAAATTGTGAAATTGAGAGATGTTTTAATGGCAATTTTAGGCAATCCAGATTCATGTTGCTGAGTTTTTAAACTCAGATGGTTTAAAAACATGAATGGCAATAGGATAATCTAAAGTCCCAATGACATCCAAAAGTGGGAGTTAACTGCAGTCAGTTTTCAACTGCGATTATTCCAGGGCATACATTTGACATGTAAATTAGGATTAGAATTACACCTTGTTCCCTACATCTTCCAAAAGTACCTTGCAGCTTTTAATACCAGAAATGCTAAAGATGCAGTTAAAAATGGAGCCAGTTTCCTGCCATCATGCCAAATGGGTCATATAATTTATTTTTAATTGTGTCCATAGTTGTTTTTGGACTTGCTCACTTGTGTTCTTTTGAGCAGTTGCAACATCTATTTATGCTGATTTTTATCTAAAATTCATCAGCTGAATTTCATCTCCAAAACAATTACAACCCAACCTTTATTGTCAGTTTCAATAACTTCTCCCCTCCCTGTGAAGTAAGAGACATTAAGAATAGCCCTCCAGCTAGTCAGTTTCAGTTCTCCTGCTCTCCAGGCCTAGCTAGTTGCAAGATCATAACTGGTCTATTCCCCCTTTCTCCTGTTTGGGGCTATTTCACATATATATATATGTGTATATGTGTATGTGTATATGTATATGTATATATATATTATTTTACATTACAGGTAGTCCCCAGTTTAAGAATGACTTCCGTTCCCAAGGTCTGTCCTTAAGTCGAATGTGTATGTTAAGGCAGAACAGTACAGTGGTACCTCGGGATACGAACTTAATCCGTTCCGTGACTCTGGGCATATCCTGAGTT